AAAAGCCCGTGAGACAATTTTAAAATCATGATGTTCGGCCAGAGCCTTTGCCTTGGCAATAATCAATGTAATCACGGAGTCAGATGACTTCAGCAGTAGCCTCGTGGTTTTCTTCAGCAGGCAAATGTACTGTAAGTGAATCCAATATTTCAAAACCAACATCTTATATTCCACCAGACTTACTGTCATATTGGAAAGAAGACTCTATCAATATTTTAATAAAACTGTACACATTAAGTATAACTACAGTAAGTAGCCCCATGTCTTTCTTATTGTTTATTTTGTAAAGGCTTTCTCTTTTTCATCTTATAAGTCTTTTTGAAACCATGGACATCACTGGCATTTCCACTAAAAAATCTCCAATTCAGCAAAACCTCACGAGGACTACCACAGATGTTAAAAGTATAAAGGTTAAACAAGTAGAAATTTTCGTGCCTTGGCCAACATACCTGAAAATCTTTGTGGCCCATCACCTTAAATCATCAGCTAGAATAAGTGAAGCAGGGATCTCCTTTCACACTCTGTCTAACAGAATAAAAGGTCACAAAGGCAAATGCACCTCCTAATTTTGATAAGTTTGTGACTCAGAAGGGTTTTAATTGAATACCTTTTATTCTTGTGAAGTATATACAGTAGGTTGTGAGGCTTGGAGCTTTGTAAAGCTCGGGTACAGTATATTCATAGTGTAGTGTGATTAAGTTAAGGCTTTTCTGAACTGTACGGGGCAATGCTTGGTAGATTTCTTCAAAGTATTTTCTACATAGTGATCTACAGTGTATACCCAGTGTGGAAATTCAATGACCATTTCAAAAAGAATTGGTTACCAAAGAGCAAGATTTTGAAATACCAGTCTTAATAAAGTTATTTAAAATGCACTACAGTATATACAGTAGACTGTTCTCTTGTACTCAGGACACAGAAAGGATCAGAGGAATCATAGGCTTTATGAAGCAGAAATGCTTTTCAGTCCATAAGCACAGACCACTTGAAATAACTTTTGTAAACAAATGTGTATTACAATGCATTTTTTACAATGCATCCTTGCCGTTTTTAGAGGCTCACACTTGGCATCACTGCTACTTTACATTGATGGATGTTGGGGGAGGGGAGATGTGGGCAAATTCACATTCACAGCACTATTGCCTGTTATTTCTAGCTTTTAAAATCCCTGCCATGTCATTGGATGGGGCTCTTCCACTGGTATGGTATCAGAAAATGTTTATGTACTGTAAGAAAGGTGTTTCTTACAGTACAGTGAGCAATGATGGCAGTAGGAACCAGATTTTACCCTGCAATCTCATCTCAAGGCTTACTTAAATGGACTGCTTGTTAATAACCAGAAAACCTCAGATAACACTGTGTGCTTTGCTACAACTGCACTTTAATTATTTTATAACTTTGCTTTCAGGCAAGACAAGCTTGAAGTCAGGAACAAAGTAATATGAAGGCACTAATTGAATTGGTTTATGAGAATGGTTAGAGAGCAGATGACTTTTCGCACTCTTTTTTAATCTCACACAGCTACAGAGATGAATTTGGCTCCAATTATCTCTTAAAAGATCTTTTGATTTTGTGTCCCCAAATAAAAAAAAAATCACATAATTAATATTAAAAAAGAATTTTGTGTAATAATCACAAGGTGTTACAAATGATCGTACTTTCATGAGGTGCTAAAAAGCTCATGGTGGCTGTCAAAACCAACTGCTTATCGCAATGAAACACTGGGAAGTGTAACATGTTTAACAATACTTTGAATGCTTAGACACGTCACAATTTACGATGGCATATCTCTTACACTACCCACACTGCAGATCTACATACATATTTATAGATTTCATAGAATTTCCTTTGCCATCTCAGAGCAACAACAGTAAAAGATGGCCTGAAGACTTAATGGACATCATTAAATCTCATACATTATAGCATGACATTTTGAAAGGTGTCCTAATATTATTCCATATGGTGTAGCGTGATGAATCACCCACCCTTCTCATTTTATTATCAAGTCCTTAATGAGAGTAGCTCTCTTGTTTTACAGAAAGAGATCTCTGCTTCTGAGGACATGAAGCTTGTGCCTGGGGAGGATACTGTGATAGATGAATGACACAGCCTGAGGCTACCCCTAAAAACCCTTAAACCCTTCCTGCTAATGATCACAAGACAGATATTACTCACAACCCCCAAGAGGCTGGGCACTAACACAGCACCTAACTCATGTAACAGCACCAAAAGGACTGAACCAGACAACCTAAATATCCTGTCAGATTGCCTCTCATGCCTCTAATGCTTAATCCCATTTCCCCAGCACATATTCCGTTTCTTTCATTGGAAAGAATCAAATAGAATTTTGGAAATTATGGATATTTAAAAAAAAATAGAATATTGATTTACATCAAATGTGTACTTATTTTTCTTGCATGTCAGAAAAGACTTTCTTTTATACTTACATATGCTTGTAATAAGATGGTTTCCCTACTTTGTTCCTGTGACATATTTGTCTTTTTAATATTATCTGATCATTTTATAATGCTAGCAGGAGCCTTATTTTTAGCGAAGGTGTTAAGTCAGCACAAAACAATTAAGAGAACAAGGTTTGGACTGCAGACTATAAAACAAACATAAAACATACAGAAGAATAGCTTAACAGAAAGAACACTCAATCATTAATAGATAATATTTACATTAAGCATATGCTATGTAACCAAGCTCAACAAAACGTGGGATGACCCCAGGCACATTCAAATCAAAGAAACATATTTGTGGTCTATTGAAAGCTGAAGCCGGAATTTGAGGAGTTCTTGTGGATATATAAGGAGTAAATTAAATAGGATTCCAAATCCATTATCAACAAATCTCACTGGCATCAATGGCTGTAACAGGAGTAAACCTCATCTGATTTGTCTATTACTTACACATCATTGATATCTTGGCTGATGCAATCCTCAATGACTCTGCACAAGCACACTGCATGCATTTTCTGAAGACTTCCTCCAAAAGAAGGAATCCATCCATTTTCTAACCGCATTATTCAACACAGGGTTGCAGGGGAACCGGTGCCTATCCCAGCAAGCAACAGGTAAAGATAGGATACACCCTGGACACAAACACAGACATGCACACCACAGCTAATTTTTTCAAAAGCCAATTAACCTTCCTTTGGACTGTGGGAGGAAACCAGAGCCCCTGGCGAAAATAGGCAGAACCAAGGAAGAGATCACTTTATTGCCCATATACAACTTCTTGCATTAGGAATTTGTCTTTTTCACATACCCCCAGCTTGCTCTCCATGAGACTAACAGGCACACAGCTGGGGAGAGAGAAGCTTGAGGTCAGAGCACAGGGTCAGCCATTTATACAGCACCCCTGGAGCAGCTGAGGTTCAGGGCCTTGCTCAGGGGCCCCACGGAGTAGGATTTCTCTGCTGGCCACGGGATTTGAACCAGCAACCTTCCAGCCACAGGCACAGATCCTTAGCCACAGTGCCACCCGGCTCCGCACCTTGACCCATGCAGATAGCCCCCAAGGTCTAAAATTAAACCCAGGTCCTCACTGTTGCAATGACCAGCAATGCTAACCACTGCGCTGTCCCCTTATTTATTTATTTTTGACACTCCATAGAGCAGGCTATCCATCCAAACTGAGCATGAGACAACAATACCCTGGTCACAAAGCATTCAGATGATAATGCAGACATGTGGCATAAGGTTTTGTTGACTGGAAAAGTTTGACAAAATCTGTCTGAATGCCAAGCGTTATGTCTGGCACAAACTCAAAAGAGCAAAACATCTAGTCTACACTATCTACAGTATACTGCAAAGCATAGTTGTGGTACCCTTTCATATGAGGGACTGAGAATCTTGTCAAGATTAGGAGGAAAATATAGTATGGACCAATTTATAGGCAAATATTAGAGGAAGACTAGATTGAAAATGAACTATTCAGTACGGCAATGGTTCAAGACACAAGGGCCAAGGCTCACTGTGGTGACTTTACAAGAAATGTTTATCCTTGAGTGGCCCAGTCGACATCCTGGCTTGAATCTGTCAGACAATCCGTGGCAACACATGAAAATTGTCACCCATCATTGATTCCTAACAATCTCAATAGAGCTTTAGCACCATTCTGATGTGCAAAATTGGTATGGAAAACATTCTCAACAGCTTGCAGCTATAGTTACTGACACACAGTAGGTGCTCTCACCATGCATTGACTCAGGGGGTGAACATTTATGCAATCAACATATTGTAGTTTTTGATTTTCCTTTGCAGGTTTTCTTCTGAGTAATACCCACTTTCACTCAGAGAAGTGAAACACGTATATGTTATTTGTAATTTAATAAAATGCGACATAATTCAGGAGCGAACACTTTTACAAGGTACTATATACAGTATATACTTGCTTTCCCCAGTGGTAATTTTAGCAGGACACTGAATATGAAAGTGAGCTTCAAGATAAAAAAAATCTAATGCAAATTGTTAGGCTTTCCAAATAATACAAATTACACAGCCAATTAAAAAGAGAAATAGGAGGAAAACAAAAAGAATACATACTAAATACAGTATAAATACCTTTATATAAATCAACTTCAAATGCAAAGACCCACACATTTTTTATTGACTTTTCTTAAGATCCTTCCGGCAAAACATTTTTGATATATATAATTGGTATTTTTCACTAAAAATACGTAAGCACAGTTATGGAAATGGATAATAAACATTTCAAGTATCCTTGGGCGATGCTTAAACTTGTTTTATTTCCTTTTAATTTATATATACTTTCTGCTCTGCTTATTTACTGTTTTTTCCACCAACAGACATATGTTCAAATGGATTCCAGTGGCGATCAGGTATTACTGTATATGGCTCTGCCTACATTTATTTTTCACAGAGAAGTATTGGAGAAGAAGAACAGAAGAAGCTTGTTACTCCAGTTTATACTGTACATAAGGTGATTTGAAGGAGTAACGCTCTGTGAAGATAAGGAAAGCTTCAAGAACTTACCGGAATGTCATTTGGAAAACCTGCCCCAGGTTGACTTCCTGGGATTTGTTGTTGTAGCCATGAAGCATCTCTCCAAAAAGTGTGTCATTCAGCTTGGCATCAAGTCTCTGGCACTTGGGCCCATCACAGGCATCAGAGAGTAGATTGCAAGACCTCCCGTCTGGTGCCAGTCTGTATTCCTCAACACACCTGCCAAATAAAGGATGCAAAACCTGATGAAGGTGTTGCTTTGGACTACGAGCAGACTCAGTAATCCCTTTAATGAAGTGCAGCACTCAGGTCTGGGATACTGTTGCCAGCAAACACTCTTTGGCTAATCACAAATTAGGACCAACCAAAGTGTAGCAGCAATATATTCATTGCAGGGTCAGACAGAATTTCCAGTAGGAAAACTGTCTCACAGAGGATAGGAGACTGTTTAACCAACATAAAGAAACAAAAACGCAGATGTGTGTGGTAGATTAAAATAGCTTTTGTCATCTGAGGACCAGTTAAGGATGTATTTAAAAATAAAACAAAGGAAACAACAACAAATATACAAATAAAAACTGAACTGCCTTCATGCCTGACACATACTGTACTTGTATAATACCCATATACATACAAAAATAAATGCAGTCTAGCTGTGGGATAGATAAATATCTATATCTGACAGTTTTATTGCCCGTGAAAGAGGGCGGGGGGGGGCTTGTGTTCCCTGACAGAAAGAATATTATTCTAAAAGCTTTTTCTCAAGGTCATCCAGCCTCAGGTTTGTGTGTGTCTTCTCCTACAAATGCAGTTTAACGTGTCTTAACATAGTGCATCATAATGAAGATTTATACAGGTTTATATTTCTCAAAGTTTTCAGTATAACATCTTCAGATTACTGTTAAATCATCTTCAGCTTTTGCTATCTTAAGAAACCAGATTAAAAGCAGCTGATGTTTGTCAACACTCAGACCTACAGGACACACATTGATTTCAATTACTACATTTTTAACGTAGCTCCTCTATGCATACCAGGTACAGTTTGAGAAGGGTCCGAGTGCTAGCAGTGTTTTACCACTTGCTTTGTTATATACAGATTTATTCTTTCTCATAAAATAGGTATTAATTGTGCAATATGTGCAAAATAATGTACAGTAAGTTTAAAAGAGAAAATTTCACAGTAGCTGCTCTGAAGCCTCCCACAGACAAAGTAAACACTGCTAACTGAAATATCCCCCCCAATTCACACACATCAGACTTGAAACCTTGTTTAAACTTTTCTGGTTTCAATTATCTACAAGATTCTACCCACATTTAATTAGCATTACACGAGTATTTCATCCTCTGGCAGCCTGGACATTAAAAGTGTGCTGTGGCACTTGTGGTATAGTATTGCAGCTCTACCATTAAATACTAGCTGTAGAAATACAGTGAAACCGTACTAAACCTATGCAATATTCATATTAAAATTAATCCTGAACTCATACTAAGACTCAACACACCAACATTTAAATTAAAGTCTTCTTGATTCCATTTTAATATAGTATCATTTGCTATATCTTTCCACCAAAGTACAGTAATATTATAATGTGCAGTATACTGTATATGGCATTTCATGAGAACCATTGGATGAAGGCATAACATGTCTGCTACCTGCTCCAGAGAAATACAGACAAAAATACTGCCTATAAGCCTGCATGCACTTGGTTGGGTAGCCGGGTACTGAACATCTCAGTCACTGAATGAGAACTTGAGTGGGCAGTGAGTGGACACTCACAGGTTGAGATGGAAAATTCACCAGATCAGGGCAGTCCAGCAATTGAAACCTGCCAGGATGACTGTCATACTCCAGATGTTATGTAAAGATGCTGAACCATGCCTTCACTGGCCAAAGGTGGAGTAAACCAAGGGATATATCTATGTTGGCAATAGCTTTTAAGTCCTAGAGCTTCTGACTCACTCCCCAACTTAAATTTAAAGAGGCACTGTATAATGTAAGAGAGGCAATGGGGTTGTGAGTCAGTGAGACTTTCATGGTATAGGAGTCCAGCTGTGCAAATTTCCAGTTGAAAGTGAAGAAGCAGAGGGAAATGAAAAGCTTGAGTAATACCACAGAGATGCATTACCTATACTTAAATTAATATATTTTCCACCTATTAACTGAGGCTGACCTCTAAAATACATGTATTCCTTCTTCTCTACTGGTGTTAAGGAAGAATGAGTTAGCTATGACTCTTCAAATTATTGCCGTTGCATTACTTTGACAATTTTATACAGTAAATAATAAAACACTAGACATGCATTTTTAAAATAAATCAGTTTTTACATACTTTTGTAACAAACAAAAATTATTTTTACAAAATATTTTTTTTCTGTTGACTTGTTGCAATGTTTTTCCTAATTTAAAAATAAAATCCTGTTTTGACCTTCCTCAAATCTCTATTCACTTGTACCTCTAAAGCATCTCAGGATGAATAACAGAATAATCACTTCATGTTGCTCTACTTGCTACCAGGCATTTCAATGAAACAGCCTTTACTTATTTTTTTTACAAACTGCTTTTTTATTATAATAAAGTTTTTTTTTTCTCTTGCAAATAAGATAGAGAGAGAACGGTTGCTTTCTTCTTGCAAATCAGCATTTTGATTACAGGAAAAAATCTAGAAATGATATATGGTTCCACATTACACAACGCATGTTGCTGTATATGATCAAACTAGGAACAGCACTAAGTAAAACGCAGTCTGCTTATGAATCTCCATCTGTCAAAGTATCTGTACAGAAACATTTATTCTTAACAGATTTTGCCTTACAGAATTTAAACAAAGGAGATCAACGCTCGCTTCAGAATATAAGCATAATGATTTTAGGAGACTGAAAAGAAAGTCGGGAAAAAAAGGCATCTGTTTGAAATTCAATCAGCTCCTCTTCACGTGTCAGGTTTTAAACAATAATTTTGTCAGTAACCAGAGGCAGGAGGAGGACAGGAGCCCAGCTGAGCGAAACTGCAGTGTCGACCACAGGGATGCTTCACTGAACAGCATGCTGAGGCCATGAAACAAGCCCTCTGAATGTTGATGTTCTTGGGAATTTTTCAGAAGGAGTGTAATTCCAAATGCTTCCAAGTCATTTGCTCAAAATGTGTTTTTTTTTCTTTTGTTGGAAATAAAGATACTATCATACAGTATGTTAGTAGTAGAATACAGTATATAGTAGTACAACCCCCTATATAGTAGCATATATGTTATACAGTACATAAGAAAACAATGTTTGTGCCTTAAGAAAAATGCAGAGTGTGTTAATAGAGTATATAATTTTCAGCCAGCTCATGTCTTAATCTGTAGAATGTACTACACTCTGTGGTGCACTGGTTTCACAAAACATCAGCGATTTTAGTTGCAAATGACCTATATTCCTTCATTCTTACCCACAGAACATGAGAACGTTGTTGGAAGTGGGGTCATCTGGCAGGGGCACCAACTGCTGTAGACATAACTGCTCACAGCCCCCATTGAAGCCATCGGAGCAGTCTGTACCTTTGGTGTAGTCATAGCAACCTGAGCCATCCTTCATTGGCCGGAGACCTGCAGGGCACTGATGGAAGAGGGCACAATTAACACCTGTATCCTTGTGGGGATTAAGTTAATTAACTTAGAAAAGCCTTTGGCACATGTTAGTTTTTATGTTTAACCATACTATACATTGTACAATAGATTCGCCTTACAGAGAGCATTTGATCACACTGATATCGACAGTCTTGTAAAGAGGAAAGCTATCCTTATTTCATAATTCAGATATTCCATGCAACAACTGAGATTCATGAATTACAAGGCACAACAAAAAATTATCATTCTATTGTAAGCGCTTTAACAGCTCTTGAAATCACAGAAAACAACCTGAATCAGCATCATGATACAGTATACAGTATCAGGAGTAACACATAATTCACGTGTTTATGTCTTAATGAGTACTACCACTTAACTACAGTATGCATAAGTTATTTATAAGCACTTAACAAGCTGTGTTTCAGTAATAAAATGCTAATACTTCACTTACAGTTTATGCTAAAGGTGTTACTGCTGAAGGAATCACGAAAAAATGCTACCATCAAAATATCAACGCACTTCCTCCAGGACAGCTGCATGTACATTTGAATGAGCAGCACTTACACACCCTCAGGCAGTTAGTTGATTTTAGTTGATTTCACGTTGGACAGTCCCATAGATTTCTTCTAAACATTTTAGAAGCCTACAATTATGTATTAATGGAAATCAAGAAGTGTATTTCTTACTGTTTCTGGGAGTATCATTGGGCTTTAATTGATTAACAACTGTTACAAAGCTGATGTAGAATAGCAATCAGAAAAACACAGCTCTTACGATAAACACTACAAATATGTGAAGTACTCTTTGAGTGATATTCAGAAGTAGAAAGGCCTATCATGCACTATTAGAACTGGCAATAAAGAAAAAAAATACACCTGACATGAGAATACCAGAGACCAGATCCTCTGTAATCAGTTTACAGCACAGTTTGCAAGCCAAGTGAAAGCTATTCCCTTTGATGAACAATTGATGAACGAATGGATCAGATTTCTTGTACATGCTACTCACTACAAATTCTCAAAAGACAAACTCTTCCACCATCAGGTTACAGGCTGGAAGAGTCTCTTAGGTCAGGACTGTGATTAGCACAACTGGGAGCAGCTCAATGTCAGAGCACCATTCCAGTGGTGTAGCAGAGTATATGTAGTGTAAAAGGCACTCATTAATTGGTCAAGGGGGCAGAGAAACCTGCCAAGTCCAAAATGGCGTACAGTAGGTGTAATGTGACTCCTTTTGAGACTGTCCGTGGTTGGCAAGGAAACCAAAGTTTGCCTTGTTTACCTGGGTATGACAGAAACAGCACATCCTAATGCAAGTTACCTAATTAATGTTAGGTAATTTAATAAGCTAGCAGTAAAGGTAACATCAGGAAGGGAATAATATTCTTATCTTAGCAATGGTTGCTTATACTTTGAATAGCTCTTTATACATCATTATAATGATAATTCAGTAGTTGTACAAGTGTGGTAGGTCGAGACAAGATTCTTGTCTGAGCCAAATTATTCAAAGAGCAGTGGGAATGATCAGCCATCCTCTGTCATCTTGTCAAATACAGGAGGAATATTGGTGAAGAGTAAAGGTGTGCCATACACATAAACAATTTGCATACTGGGAAGTACCTCATGCACTACATACTGTTGGATGTAATCTATATGATCAATTGTCCATGTGGAAAAGTATATATAAATAAAAAAAACAGAACTCAAAGAAGAATAGAAATCAAATCTCGGTCCCATTAGGTGTCTTAAGTTTACTTATCCGCTAATGCTAATTTTGCTGAGGCTAATCATGTGATTTTCTTTCTTAGATATACTGTAAAAATCCACACCCCTAAGCGATCTGTTGATATTAACTATATTTTTAAAGAAGGAGGCATCCTGGATAGTCCGGCTCACTATTTGAGCTCCTTATAAAAAGAACATAGAAATATATTTCAAGAGTATTCTAATATTCTATTTAAATAAAAGCTGACAAAAAACTTAAATGCACTTAAAATGTCTATTTATGTCTATGTCTATATTCATGTCTATTTTTATATGGAGATCATTCTATGTTATATTTTTGTGTTTTGGTTTGTTTACATATTATTTTATGTGCATTTACCTTGGATTTTCGTATACACAAGTATTGCTGTTATTTTTGAAACATTATTATTAATGGTCAGATGTATGCATTTATTCCAAGACTGTTTCTTTTAAAAATGATGGTTTCCTCTCATGAGGAATAGTCAGCAATTAAGACAGAAGTGTGACACGAATGTATACAGAAATGTTAACGTGCTTGACAAGTTCTAATAAAAACAAAAACATTAGAACTCTAGAGTGCATAAGGCTCATCTTATTAATTTCATTGATTATTTTTAACAGCACCTCAACAATGTAGGAGTGTGTTAGTCTTTTCTCTGTCTTGGAATTTACAACTGTTACCACTGAATTCAATGTTATACACTACCTTCTGTGGGTTTATGTCGTATAATATGCCCTAACTCACCCAGACCCTTTAAGAGCTGTTTGGATTCAACACTTCCAGAATTATTCATCCAAACTAGTTTTACACTTTGTTTTCTCTTAGCTCAATGCCTGCAATGGTGTGTTTTTTTTTGTGCCTAGAGCAACTCAGTCACTGCAAACATGAGGGCTCAGAATGTAAGAAGACAAGGTACATTTAGCAAATGTATGTAATATTCAGAACAGATCTTTATAAACCAGACGTGAGATGCTGTAATAAAGGTGAAGGTTACAGAGAAGCCCCCAGCCTTAGGGCTGATGGTAACTTTGTTGAAACTCTTTAAACATTTTAAAAGAATAATAACACTTTCCTAGTTTGAATATATTATAGGGATAGATCAAAGCTGTCTATAAAGGTATCAGGAAACAAATTAAATGAAATAAACAAAAGTCTCGCAAATATACTGTATTCTCTTTTGAAGCAAAATAATACCAAATTAGTATAAAATATCCCATTTTTAACATTATACTACAGTATAACTGAAGGTTCTTTATGATCAGATGTGTGTGGTTAAGATAATGACAACATAATCCAGGGAAACAGCTCACAGATCACAAGTCTTTTGCTGTGCACTGATGGAAATGTAGGTAAAATAATGCTTCCAGACAGACTGTTACTTTGTGATTTAGAGGCACATCAAATAGATCAATAAACTGTATCAAACCTATCCACTACAGCACAGTGACCCAGCAGCTGCACAGGTAGTGTAACAGATGGCTCTCAGAAGGGAGACTTTGCAATCAACATTCTGAAGGATGTTTTTACAAAGCGAGCATGAGCTAAATGAAAAGGTCCCGCATGAGCATTTAAGTGGGGCAATAAATCAGCACCAGTTCTACACTAATGCAACATTGTATAATAGTTTCATTTTAACATTAAATCGTATATATTTTCTTTATATTAAAAGACTATTGACTTGTCCGGTAATCCTACTACTAAGGTGAATTATATATTACTGTATCTGCAGAGATAGACCATTGTGTATTCACATGTATATTGGAGTTTCATGCCGTGTAAAGAATTTTATGTAGCAGTTCAGGCCACAGGTCAGTTTCAAAGCACATATACCGATACAAATGCAGCAGCTCATGCACTCCCACACTTAAGGAGAGCTGATGCATGCACACACATAGAAAGCTGAGAACAGCTGAATTCCACAGTAATCATAATTCGTCATCGCAACCATCCAAAATGTGATTTATGATCACATACAGTATTATTATTAATATAATATTGATTTCACAATTTTAATTCCTGTTAAACAAATTCTAAAAGCATGAGGAAGGCTCAACATTGGAAATATCACATTCCATTCATTCCATCTGAATTATTATTTTTACTGTTTTTGGTAAAGGTTGAGGCATTAGTGTGGTGGTCAGCTCTACGGACTCACAGCTCTAGGTTCCTGACAGTGTTGCATCTGTTTGTGTAGACTTTGCAGATCCTTCCAACTTCCAAAAAGACTGGTGAGAATTAATTTGGCTATCCCAAACTGCATCTATTTGAATGGTGGTGTGATGGACTTACTTTGTGTCATGTGCACTTCTATCAACTGCTCCCACCTTGAGCTTTTAAGCTTCAGGGACAAGTTGTGGATCACCTTAACCTTCGCTAGGACAGGTGATAATCATTGGGTGCACCTGATAAATTACTTACTTGGGGAAATAAATGGGAACCAACAAAGGAAAAGGTGTTGTTTTCAAAGATATTTTTGTACTGAGAATGACAGAATTCCATTACTTCTGCTGGATTTAGCAGTGCACTACCAATGAATGCTAATCACAATTAACAAGAAAGTGCTTTCTTCAGTCCTGAAATCAGAGTGAATAACATCAACGGTACTCAAACCTCTGCTGCTTATCAGCAGCAGGAAAAATTTCACTGACAGAAACTTCAGCTGGGAATCACATTTAGTTCAGATTGAACTGTTCTTATGGTGCACCTGCTCAGGTTTTCTTTTCTGTAAGCTGACTGATGAAATATACTTTGAAAACCACGAGGCTGAGGAACATTAAACTAATGTTGAAATAAAGTTTCATGGACTTTTTTTTATAAATAAAATGCACATATGCACATGGTGTAATAAAGTTTTAAAATGAGGTCTGCTAAAGTGTAAAACAATATTCATCATGTATAGAAGGACATACAAGATTGCCATGTTAATAAGCTTGTAGAGGACACCCTTTACAGTGTCTTTTAAACTTCAAAGTTATGGATTTTATGGAGGACAAGTGTCACAGTGGGAGAAAAAAAACAACTGCTTTTTAGTTCAAAATCAAATTACATTTGTAAATTTAGATTAACATTAATACATTACATTTATGTACAGGAATATTTGTGCATTCACTTAACATGAATAAAATGGTAAAACCAACCATGTTAGCTCTTAGGGGAACATTTTGTACTTGACAACAGTTGCAGCGTAAAGTAAGGGGAAGGACTACAGTAGATAGAAACATTTATTAGGATAACACATCTCTC